TGGATACTTGCTATTTTTCTATGAAAAAAATTAGAAGTTTCAGTTCAAGTACCAACTCGTGTAAATTCAATTAAATGTTCTTATTTTTATATTTTTTAAATTAATAAGTTATTATTTATATTTTTATATTGTTTTAATGTCTAATATTAAAAATAATTTTTTAAAAATAAATAATTTAAAATACAATTATCACTGAACTCTTCCAATACAGTTAAAGAGTAAAATATTAAGAGTGTGTTTGGCTTAGAGGTGTGGTGGTTTTTTGTCAAAGGTACAATACTTTTTAAGCATAAACCACACTTCTAAAAGCTATAAAAACATATTTTTTCCTCCAAAAAAATAAAAACTACTTCCTATTTAAACACCCTCTCTGAAAACATGCACCAGGGGTTAAGTATCAAGTATTGATGATATTTGCCAGGGTTAACTTTCAATTCAGCCATCAATCGCCTCAGTCGGGGCAGATTTTATTATAAAATAAATATTAAGAGGTTAGGCATGAAAAGTGTAAGACAAATAAACAAAGGGTCAAGTATTCAATGTGTTCGTAACCTCTTAATTGAGTTTAATTTAAAATCTTTAATAAGATTTTATATCTATAATAATTTTGAGTGTTCGTAATTACATTTAATGTTTAAAAACAACACAGAAGTAAATCAGAAAATAATCCCCTGATTTATTGCACTGAAAATAAAAGGATAACATCAAAACTAACTTCTCAAAGTACCTGTCTTCTTAGTTTTTGTTTTAGAGATATTTGAATGAACAAGATGAACACGAGAATAATATAAGAAATGAAATAAATTGAACTTTATCCAGTTTAAATAAGAATTTAAATTGTTTATCAATTAAATTTAAATTAAATACCATATTAAATTAAATTACAACTGGCTTTAAATAGATTGATTAAGACTCCCCGGTGAAAGCATAAAAATATGTGCAGTGATGAAATCTAATAATTTTAAAAATTATATTAAAATAAATATGAAAAAATAAACGATGCGTAATGAATTGACTGCAGATATTTTTACAGGCATTGTTTTTTTTTGCTAAAATAATGTAGTTTGATACATGTGTGATTGAAAGAGAGAGGAGGGGGAAAATAGATTCTACAGGCATTCTTAAGCTCTAAGTATAAAATATGTCGGTACCATAAAAAAACATATCAACAAAGTGAATAAAAAAAAAAAATATAGCAGTGGTAAACGGAGTAAGCTACATGAAGATAAGTACTGTCATATCTTTTTTTTTTTTTTTTTTTTGGGGGGTGTCAAATTCAAACCCAGGTGCGGAGGAAAGGGACAAACCCCTCTCACTGCTAGTATTTGTCATATCTTGCCATTGCTTTTGGTGTGCCAAACATACCAGCTGTAAATGAATTGCTAATGTAAGGCACCGCGGGAGTGACAGACGTGCATAGTAAAATTCAAACCCAGGTACGGAGGAAAGAGACAAAACCCTCTCACTGTTAGTATTTGTCATATCTTGCCATTGTTTTTGGTGTGCCAAACATACCAGCTGTAAATGAATTGCTAATGTTGGGGTATTTTCGCCTATTAACTTTGTTTTTCAAGAAAAATGCAACATAATTAAATATAAATTTTTTGCTAAAATAATGTAGTTTGATACATGTGTGATTGAAAGATTTGATATTTGAATCTGAGGTGGATTGTTAAACGGGCTCCTGCGAATGATAATAAATAAAAAATAGAATCTGAGGTGGATTGTTAAACGGGCTCATGCGAATGACAACAAACAAAAAAAATAAAATAAAATCAAATAAAATCAAATCATGGAGGCTGAAGATCCAATCACAATATTATTAAAAAATATATTGACATGATAAATCAAACAATACTAAAAATAAATTAGCTATGATAATCAAAGTGGATTAGTCTTTATGCAATATAAAAAATTTGATTATATTTTTATTATAAATAAAATTTTATATTTATAATAAAAAGCAAGCGAGCAATTACAGTGTAAAGAGAAAAGAGAAAAAAAACTTAAAGATTGTATCAAAATTCTGATTGTAACTTTATTAATAATATAAAAAAAACAAATATATTGATATTAATAAATATTATTAATAATGATCAGAGTGCATCCTGTTAATTATCCATAAGCCAGGGAGCTAACCGCTATGGGCATCTCATTTCCTAATGATTTTTTTTTTGTTGAATTAACTTTATTGATTTTTTTATAATAAAATGTTACGATAATTAAAATTTCAGTGTGCATTGAAGGTGTGTGTGTGTGTCTCTCTCTCTCTCTATGCTCTTTAAACAATTGTTTCTAATATCATGTTTCTCGGTACTAAACCTGCTATTTTGTTAAAAAATAAATTAAACTGTGTTATTATATTATTTTTTAAAACAGTGTTCATTTTTTTTTTTAAAAAAGAATCCATCACATAAGAACAAGAAAAATGAAAAAAGAAGGGGGCACCACCCGGTGCGAGCTTACGGTCATAGCATAGAGTAAAAGGAGAGCCGAGAACATAAACCATGTTGGGTTCTGCAGTGGTCAAGTTTTAACCATGTACGTGAGTTTATGACCGTTGAAAAACAAAGGTAAATAACATGGTTATTCCTTCAACAGCTTCAGTTATTTTTAATTTTTATTTATTTGAAAATATATTTTTATTTTTTAAAAAATATTTTTAACATATTAAAACAATCTAAAAAAATAAAAAAATAATTTAAATTAAAAAAATATTCAATTTTTTACAAAATTATTTTTCTACCATAAAAGCAAACGCTGCCTTAACCCCCTCACCCACTTCCATTTGTACAGAGGAGAGTTTTGAAATAAAATATCGGGTCTTAGTAAGGAAAAAAAAAAAAGTTAACCAGGTACAGGCACCTTCACCACCCACCATCACCCATCGTTGTCTAGAAAACTCAGCTCTACATCACTACCTCTCTTCTAACACTCACATATAGAGCCATCTTTCAAGTTCTATCCTCTTAAAGTAGAGCTAATTCTCTCATTTCAGCCCCAGAACCCTACATCAACGATGGCTGTTTTAGTGCTTTTAGTGCTTTTCTGGACACTCACTGGTCGTTCATGTAAGTTAATTAGGTTCTTGTGTTCTTGCTTTACTTTTCCGATCTTGGATGGAGAAGTTTTTTAAGGACTGATGAATGCATTTCTCTTTAATGAGATGGGGTCTCTTTAGTTTTCTTTTAAAGTGATCTCCTTTCTTATTTTCTTGGTTCTTATACTGGTATGATTTATTTGAAAGGAAGAGTTTTTCTATTTTCTCGATCTAGTTTTTCCTTCTTCTTTTTAATCCGAGAAAAATTTAGCTTAATCCATGATCATCTGTACACTAGCGATCACCATTTTTTCTTTTTATCCGTTGATTTAGTTTAGAATTCTTTTTTATTAATTCCCCGTTCCATTCAGAAGAAAAGGTTGTGGTTTTTGTAATAACAGTTGAGTTTGCTGGTTTTCCGTTTTTTGCAGGTGCCACCTACTGCATATGCAAGGATGGGGTTGCTGACACACAGCTGCAAAAAGCCCTGGATTATGCTTGTGGAGCCGGCGCAGATTGTACCCAAATCATTCAAAGCGGTCCTTGCTACCAGCCCAACACTGTAAAGGATCACTGCAGTTATGCTGTTAACAGCTACTTCCAGAAGAAAGGCCAAGCTGTTGGGAGCTGTGATTTTTCAGGAACTGCCGTGACTAGTGCCACTCTCCCTCAAAGTAAGTGAAGTCCCACAATCCACCCATTCTTTATCCAATTATCTTTTGGGGCACTAACTCTCTCGTTGTTTTGTATGTTTCTGTAATGTGCAGATGTAGCCTCCGGGTGTACATATCCTGCATCTGCAACTTCAAGGTATGTTTTTTAAAAGAAAGTTGGTAATCCTGACATCCTGTGTTGGTGATTTCTGTCAATTTTGGAATCATCTTCTCATCTTGCCAGATATTTTGGCTATTGGATTGAAACGAAGTTTTCTCTGGGAGCTAGTGGAATGTGAATCTGTTTTTAGGGCTTTGGATACCTTTTTTTGTCTTCAGAGAACTTTGTAATTGTTTAGCGAAAACAATTTTTCTTGCGAATAGGAATCTATAAGCTGATGAAATCCTGTTGCTGTTAATTTTGCATCTAACTTCCTGCTGTCTTTCTTGGACTTTCTGCACTTGCGTGTCAAACTTATACGATCCACCTGGTAGATTTGAATTTGATCTGAGTTTGCTTGCATAAGCAGTATGAGAAAAGTACTCGCTTTAATAATGCTGGCTTGAGAGAAATTTTAGACGGTGGTTGAGAGAAGGAGATCTATCATTCACTCTATTATTTGCATTGACATATCTTTATAGGTCAGGGGCCTGCATCTTTCTTACAGTTTTTTGAGCTGTCATGATGTTGATATTTCATAAGTTATTTCTCTTATTCCGTACTCGATATACTGATTCTACATCTCTCAGCTTGACACATGTTTCCCACATTTTAAGTGCCAATGATGCAACGACTGTTGTGCGTGTTGTGTTTTTGCTAAGTTTGGTATCCATTTGCTTTCATGATGTGGTTGCTCGAGGACAATGGTGCTCTGAGATTTTTTAATTACGTGGGTGGTTGTGGGTACTGAGTCTAAGTTATCCTTCTGGTTTTTTCCTTTTGTTTTTACAGCACCGGCAACACGAGCTCGTCAAACTCGGGCACAGCACCGACGGGCACAAACACACCATCTTCTATAATTCCGCCTCCTCCGTCATCAGTGTTCACCGGATTAGGCCCAACGGGCACCACTGTTGGCAACGGTGTGGCTCCTCAATTTAAAGGCACTAACTTGTGGTTCATGGCATCATCTTTAACCCTCTTGTTTTCAGTTCCCTTCCTGTTGTTGGGTTGAAGGTAAAAACGAAGTGGGGTTGATGTGTGGATGAGATTTTGCCACGGAAGGACGGGTGGGCATGTTATTTTCCGGTGGGATTGTAGGGGGGGGGTGGTCATCATGAGTCAAACCCCACTATGGTTTTTTTTGTTTCTTTCCTCCCATGTGAAAAGGCTAGGAATTTGATTCCCCATTGAGTGCTGATATGACTGCGACTGGGGTAGTAGTATTTGTATATCTAGAGAGAGCTGGTAGTATTTTATTTTCCTTCCAATCTATAATGTAAAATTCGTACCATCTACACCTAGTTTGATTATTTTTGCCTGCTGCTTTTAGTGGTGGATGCCTGCATGCATGCAGCTAGGAGGCATTAATTTTCTTTTCTGTTTTTAATCATTGAAGAATACGTCGTTTTTGCTCTGTTAATCTTGCACGCAAGCCCTTATGGTCGGTGACATCGTAACTTGAAGGGGATGTATAGTTCTAAAAGAAATCTCTCATCGTAACTTGAAGGGGATGTATAGTTCAAAAAGAAATCTCTCGTGTACTCTTCCTTTTGAGAACAATGGTATATATATGTATTTGACGCGGATGGTGTCAAGAGGTGCGTTGAAAAGTAATTTGGGACTTGCTAGCCGTGAAAAACCAGCGGTCTATTTATCAGGAGAGCACGACATCTGAACGGCCAGCCGACCTGGTGACAACACATCACAGCACGCCACGTTTCATGTCGATGGCATTTTTTAAAACCGGATCAGTGATTAAAAAAGTACCTAAGTTTTGACATTGTTTAGGCAGCAAACTTAAAGTTCAAGGATGCAATATGAAATTTCTACCATCCCATGATTACCTGGACAGATACACGTCATTCTGCATGTGGCAATGAGTGTTTTGTTTTTTTGTGCTCATGCAGTGAGGGCTGGCTCTTCCATTCAATTATACTGCCGGTGCCTTTTGTCGAGGTGTATTTATCACGTAGTTTGCCATGCCCTCTGAGAGTAACTTTTCATTTAATTAAATTCATAGAATATTTGCTTTGCAGAATAAAGGCCCTTTTGGAAAAGTTTTGCTATCACTTTCAGCTGTGAATATGATTTTTAAAAAGCTTGTAGCTTCTGGAAATAAAACATGGAATTAATGGGCTGAGATATTAGTTTTTAAAATATCATACAACTTATAAAAGTCACAGCAATAGCCAAACTGGTGATTATCAAACGGGCACTTGTCCTACCTTAGCTTTCATGTCTTCTTTATTGGCGTGTTGACATCCAACTTGACGATCTCGATCTGTGATCGTGTGGGATTCTTCGTTCACCCTTCAATGATAATCTTAGATCGAACCCCAAAGCCACAGAAAGATTCACATTTTCATATCAACAAATTAATATGCCAAGATCCATATATTTAATCTGAGACCAAAGTAATTTGAAATTCGAGGCAAGGAGAAAGATGTTCGCAAGAATATTCCTCCGACTTGTTGGGAGTCCTTGCTCTCCCTCCTCCTAAATGCCCAGAACGTTTGATGCAAGCAAGCACAAATTCACGAGAAAAGTTTAAAATTTAATTTTGATTGACAATTAATTGCTGTTTATCTCTTACAATTGAACCAAAATTTTTTTTATCTTTTTTCGTTTTAGATTAATATAGGTGGAAGCCAACTTAAGCACAACTATATTAATCTGTCTTAAAATTAACGATCATATAAATTTTCAATAATTTTGAGATTTGTAAGATTGAAATTGATAAGCTTTGAAAAGTAAGTCTATAATCTAACCAATTGAATTATACCTCTCAATATTAAAAAAAAAAAATTTATTTTTTTGATAAATATGGATGCATGTTTTGACAATACAATTGATTAATTATAATACGGTGTTCAGTTCCATATAACTATTTTGAGTTGGACTCCAACGCCACATATAGCCACTAGCCCAAATGTGGCTAGCCCAGCATAATTACCATTGATTGGAAGTGATTATTGCTGAAAGCATTGCATTTTAAATCGAAATACACACTGAAAATAACAATTAAAAACTAATTCTATACAAGATACAAAATATAAAATAACAGGCAACGATCTCGAAGTAAAGATATGCTAATACGTGTTATTTTTATTTCATGTGATGGATATTTTCAACTAAAATTAAACATGTTCCAACCATATTCTCAACATAAAATTGAATTAACTTAAGATCTTTTTTATGAATTCATTTTAGTTTAGATTAATACCTCGAACTTCCTTGATTGTTGTAAATTAAAACATTTATACTATTTGGAGCATTAGCCTCCATTCAAGTCGAAGTATTAAGCACGAACCAACATTTAATCCTACAAGGAATTTTGAAATTTCCAATAGCTTACGATATGTATTGGCGTTAGTTAAATTAAGGAGTTCTAAATATCTAATAAAATCTGGCTTACCAATTGCTGGTATATAGACAGGTTTTAATACCCAATAAATTATTTAGTCTGAGCTGGAAAGGCGCGCCTGCCAAATACAATAGCGCAACGAAAAACCAATACGCAAGACGGCAAGAGCTCCGGTAGAGGTGTGATTATTTTTTATTTCATTCGGTTTTTATCATAAAAAATAATTAAAATTAGTGTTTTTGAGAAAAAAACCCAAAAACAGTTTAAATTGATTGATTTTAATTTGGTTATGTTATTTTACAAAAACCGATTTAAACTAGTTTGATTTAAATTTTTTTATTTGATTTTTTTTTTAGTTTGGTTTATTTTTTTAGTTTTATACTTATAAAATAGAAATAAATCATGTTAGTTTTTTAAAAATTTTAATTGATTAAATAAGTTTTTTCATTGAGTTTTTTAAAAATTTTAATTGATTAAATAGGTTTTTTCATTGATTTTTTTTTTATTTTTTATTTTTTTAATTTAATTATTTTTTCAGGTCAAATTGCAAGCTAGATGATGAGCCCTCCTCCTAAAAACAATAACATAGTACCAAGAGCAATAACTCCCACGTCAGGTTGTAAACTGGTATATTGCACTTGAGACAAAAGGCCGAGTTGCCCCATCTCTCGTTGTTTCTGTTATACCTGTGCTTCCACGCGCACGGTGTCATTACCTACTCGACGTGGCATGCTATGACCAAACAGCGCATAACAAGTAGAGTTAAGTAGCCATTCCACCTACCCCTCAGACATGAAACCAGTACTGTTTTTTTCCTTGTGAATATACGATTCTCGATTTAAAAGCAAGGAAAATGTATTGTTTAACCTCGGTTTTGGATATGGGGGGTCAAATTTGCGTTCATTTTGGGCTGCAGAACTTGTGGTTTTTTTCCAGCTAGTGGGTACAGAATGCTGCAAGTGCTAAGCTGTTGAAACGGAAAATTGTTCACGAGCGACTATGCTGTGCTAGATTTGTGGTGGATCATCGGCCTGTCATTCACTAGCGACAGCAGCTAGCAGAACTGCGATCATGCCAACGCATCTAGTTTGCTGTAGCTAAGAGAACAAAACACAGCATGCGTGCCTCTCCAGTCTCAACTACCTACGGAATAAAAACGCTCTTCTTAAACTCTCCAATGCATACATCATTAAGTACAATGTCCCTAAAAACGCTCTTCTTAAACTCTCCAATGTACAATGTCTCATCGTGCATGCAAGAGAACTTGTTTACAGAGAGGCCAGTGTTCCTCATATTCGAGTGCACTCTCCGACCATATTATAAATTCAAGATTCGGTAACAAATATATGCCAAAAAGATTATAGTGTCACTGGTAAATACTAAAAAGTGGAATAAGAAAAGCCCACTTATTTTTATAGCTAATTCGCAATCGACTCTTTCTAGGCACCTTCTAGTTAAGACAATGCCATCACAGGGCATTGATCATTTTTTACAGGGACTTCTTTTCTTTTCAAAGGAAATTTCTTTTGATTTTTTGCCCTCGTTGTAAGAGTAAGAGTAGCTTATTTCCATTACAATAATGGAATTGAAAGAATTATAGGTATCTTTGTCCAATTTTTATCCCAGAAAAAGGAGAACAAAATCAAAGTAAGAGGGGGGACAAAAAAGGGGTAGCTTATTTTCCATTACATTATTAAAACTGAAAAAATATATATTTATTATTGCCCAATTTTGATCCCTAAAAAAGAGGAAGAAAAAGTCAAAATAAGAGGGGGGAAAAAAACTAAGGGGAGCCTCAACAGCTCAGGCATGGGAGCGCTAAATCACATGACAGGTCCAAACACACCAAGCTCGAGTCTATCCAGCCCAATACTAAAAATTATAAATAAGGAAATCCTGAGTCGATCCATGCAGGAAACTATATAATATATACACACTCTCATATCCAGGACATAACACACGGCAAAACCGCATACCTAAATATAATCAACTGATAGAGAGAAATTGAACTATCGATGCCTCCTGCTACTGAATCCTTATTTCTCCACCGACACTCATTTTAACTAATAAAATCATCGACATAAGAGAATTCAAACCCCTGTTAAACTATGGTTTTGAATTTTAGTTTTAAATTTTTTTATTTGTTAATATGTTACTTAAAAAAAAAACCTTTTAAAAAATAATCTTTATCACTCCAATAACTAAAATAACTTTTATTCAACATTACCTATACGTTAAATATTACAGTACATGTTACTTAGTAAAAGTATTTTTTATTTAAAAATATTTATTTTATTTTATTTTTAATATTAACATATTAAAATTATTAAAAAATAAATATTAAATTAATAATTTTCTAATTAAAAACATTTTGAAAATATACAAAAACAAACGTTCCTTGCATGTAGCCTCGCGCGCTGCCAGGGTCTCGCATCAACCATCCATGCGCTCCCTAATGTCTTTGCTTTGGTTCAGTTTAGCCTTGATTTGTCCTTTCGCTTACAATTCAGGCTTATGTTCAAATCAGTCTCTCTGTTATGAGGAAATAATTTATCAAAAATAAAATAAAATCGTGGTTGGTTATCGGAGATCTATTTTTAGTTATATAAATCAGATACGGTGGGGTGAATATGGTTCATAAAACTTCATGGGCAATATTTATCTTGCAGGGGTACTCTTATGACATTCGTGCAATAGAATTCTAACACCTCATTACCGTTAATACTATATATTACCTACTCGAAATTAATACAGTAAATAACAAGATTAACTTTTCGTTTTGGACCAGATATTTTTAGATAGAAAATGATATATACTAGATAATTTGTCCACGTTCTATGCACCAGGTTATCTTTTTTTTCCAACATAAATAAAAGATGAGCAAACTTTGTAAAGTCAAAATTTGATATATATATTTAACAAGATGGATTATAAGGATTATATTTACCCATATATGTTAAAATAATAGTTAATTGTAGCTAAAAATTAAGTGATAAAATTATATATATATATATATTATATATATATATATGAAAATAATTCTCCGTAAATTTCATTGAAAACAAACTAATTTGCTGATGTAATCTATTTTTTTATCAATATTTTTAATACTTACAAAAAAAAAATATTTTACTTTATATCATTCATCTAATAAAAAAAAAAACAGTCAGAACACATGTACAAAAATATTTAAAATAAAAAAAATATATTTATGGAATAAAAATACACTAGTCTAATTAACGTTTTTATAATTATCTTTTTGAAGATGTAAAGAAAAGGACACATAGGGGTTAAAATTGAACATATTTTATTAAATTATATTTTAAAAATATTTTATTATTATTTTATTTTAATAAAATTTAGAATAGTTTTTAAATTCACACAGTAGTTGATCTGCCTAAGGGTTGGGTTACAAGTTTTGCCTAAATTATAGGGTCATTTAAATCAATACTAATTTTTTATATAAATCAAAATAATATTATTTTAATTAAAAAAATTATCAATAAATTATAACTAAGTTTGTCCTTGACTAGATTACTAGTTCATGTAGCTATATTAGCTTAGTTTTATCATTTAAATTTTAGGTTATCTGGATTCTAGCGTGATTTGTTAAACATATTTTTGTTATTAATTTAAATTTAAATAAAAAAAAAAACAATGTAATGGTCAAACTGCAAGCCTCGATGGATCAGTGTCCTTAGCAAATGTGAAAAAAAAAATAAAAAATGCTAAGGGCATGGCTTGCTGGCCCAGCCCAGCCCTGCACCATGCCTTCGTCCTCCTTGTTTTTATCCTTTTCCAAATGATTTCCTTATTTTTTTCTTAAAAAAAGAAACGACATGTCTCTGCATTATAAAATCATATTAAATAAAAAACTACTTAAAAAATATTCCTTGAATGTGAAATATTTTTTTAAGGCTCGTGTTGATTTAAAAATATAAAATTAAAATGAAGAAGATTAATTTTTTATCTAATCTATTGATAAAAAATAAAAAATAAAACCTAAATGAAACTTTTTTTTGTTAAGTAAAACTTATTAATATAATTTTTTTTTCCTGTAACTTGGATAATCAATGATTTTTTCTCACTCTTATTTTATTTATCGATTTTTTCTTTTTCTTTTTTTTTTAAGTTCAAGGGCTTAAAATTAAACACAATAAATTTTTGAGCCAAAACATATAATTTTCAAATTGAAGGGACCAAAATAAAATTTGAGAAAGATCTAAAGGCATTTTTTCCATGAAGGAGATGAACGTGGGTAAAAAATGCAATATTTTCCCCTCACTTTCAATTTTAGTACCCTTAATTTTTATTTGTTTTTGTAAATATTTTTTTCTACAAAATCATGCATTGAACCAATATCATAACATTTTTTTAGTTTTGCAATAACTTAATAAAAAATAAAGTGAAATAAATTATCAGGAATAATTTTTAATTTAACACAGAGTAAAGGGATAAAAAAAAATCAGATGAAAGAAGTAGAAAATGATAAAACAAAAATAAAATATATATATATATATATATATATTATTACAAATCACGACATTTTCACCCGCTCGCGTAGACAAGCAAAGCGGTTTGCAGCCACCAGCTTCTCAGACGATCATAATTTGTTAACTCCGTAACTATACTCTGCTGAACAACATTGAATATCACATGGTATCCTTCTAGAAGTAAAAGCGCAAAACGCAATCTTCATTAATTGAAAAAATGAAAAAAAGACCCAAAGTAAGTGGTCTCTTCAACAGGCCATTTCAATGGATCCACAGCAACAGAGAACAGGAGTTCCCCAGCATGGTCCTCCTCAAACCGGCGGTTTCTCCCCTATTCTCACTGTTTTTCTCCTTCTTCGCCTTGGTAATCTCTCCGTCGCCAGTCCCGAACTGTTTCAGCGTCATGTATATGTATGTGTACGTCGACGGTCCTTCAAATGTTTTTTTGTTTGTTTTTGCCAAGTAATGATTTTTAATTATTGCTGCTTCAGTCTTTTTTTAAACGAGAAGTGTTAACATGTATTGCAAATTAGATGTGCTGCGTTGCAGTGGAGAATTTAATAATGATTTCTTTACCTTATTTGGTTCGATTTTCTGATTTTGGCATGCAATTTTACTAAAATTCAGGGTTCGCTCTCTGTAAATGCATTTATTATCCTATTAATAGCCCAGTAATCAGCTATGATAATATTAAATTGAGCTGAACTGGTGGTCTTCAGTCTGAATCTTCTATACCAATTTTGATGGTAAATCGACTTAATTAATCACCTCGCCAGCATCTACGTCCATCTTTAATTTGGTATTTGAATTCGAATTGTTTCATGTTTTAATTCTTGACAGACCAAGATTATGAGAGGTCGGATGCTTTTTAATCTTTCAACATTGTCTGGTTAACATTTATAGTAGTGTGTTGAATTCCTGTAAGTTGGAATATCTGCTACTTTAGCCTGGTAATTTGTGACATTCTATGGTAATGTTACAGATAGCTAATCTGTCGTCATCAAACATTAAGAATAGCTACTTTAGCCTGGTAATTTGTGACATTCTATGGTAATGTTGTAGATAGCAATTCCGTCGTCATCAAACATTACGAATAGCTAATCCATCTTGCACCAAGTCCCAGAAGGTCATGTTGGAGTATATTGGAGAGGAGGTGGTGCCCTTCTACAGAAAATTACAGATCCGTGTGTGACTACAGGACTGCTTATTTGAGTTGCATTTTATGGTTCCTGGAATTTTGCTTGCGGGCTCATAATTTTTTTATAGGTTTTCATCTAAAGATGCCTCTGATAACCCATTACTGAACTTTTAAATTTACTCCTACCGCCTTTTCCTCTTAATACAATTTATATGCATTCTTGCAATGATTATTTCAGGTTGTCAATCAGCTTCGTAAGGGATATGTATATGAGACGCTGCTGAACTATGATGTGCAATATGACAACACATGGATATATGACAAGAATCATCATGAAATCAATCAGTCCTGCAGCATCATACTCTTCAAGAAGTTTATATCGATGTTTTTGATCAGGTTCGTTAAGAAATTCTACATAAGACATGTTTTCCCAATAGATCACTGTATTACTGGTGGTTGTTTCCATCAAGTATCCTTTTCAATATGTTAAATTTGATTTCTATTTCTTCCTGCTTTCTGTATCTATGTTGATGAAAGATCAATGCCACTATTTTTCTCAGATTGATGAAAAGATGCAAGTTGCTCTTCAAGGTGCTTGTACATGTTATGTGCCTGGTATTGAAATCATAATTGTGTGTGTAACGAAGCCCACCATTCCATAAAAGCATAAGAAGGAATTTCGGACAGATGGAAGAATAACATGCTAAGGTTTGCTACACTCTTGGTCATATTCATTGTTTTACTTTCCCTCCATTAAAACCTGGTTTGAGACAAAAAAAAATTTTTAAAAAAAGGAATTTCGGACATAATGCATGTTGAAAATCTTTCCTTGAGATTACCATGGATATGGAGTTTCTCTCTATCTTGGACTGTTCATACTTGTATGTTTAAGGTTGTCTATTAATGCGGCTTTAGCAGAGTGATGTTGTGGTATTTACGAACATAGCAAAACCTCATTCAACTGAGAAACTTGGATCCTATGGATGGGCAGATCCAAAAAGTTTATCATGCATGCATTTGTGAGAGTGATTGATGCAGATTGTGCATTGCTACGTAGGACTTAATCTCTAGAGCAGAGAGTTGTTGAGAAAGAGACAGAGACCACAAAGAAGATGGCTATCAGTGAGGCAGAGAAGAATGCCAATGTGAGCAAGATTCTCATGGAACAGAAGATGATGGAGAAAGACAGTGCAAGACAGAAGCAAGAGATTGAGAACCAAAGGAATATGGCTCATGAAAAGAGCCTGGCAGATGCAGCTTTCTATCGGTGAAAACTACCAACTGTCGGTGAAAACTACGAATTTCTTTTTTCCAAGTTATGTGTATTTCACACGATTTCATGAAAGTGAATCAATAATCTTGCTCTCTCTCTTTCAGGGTCATGAAAGAAGCTGAAGCAAACAAGTTGAAGCTCACTCCCCAGTTTCTTGAGCTGAAATTTATCGAAGCCATAGGTGATAATACAAAAAATTTCTTTGTGGACAAGGTTTTAATCTCTCTCTCTCTCCCCCTCTCCTTCCCACATGCACTTGTACATGCCTGTCCGCCTTACATGCACCTCCACTCACACACAAATTTAACATGGCATATTCTTTTTGCTGGTGCCGAACATGGTTCCCGATCAGAGGCTGCTGGGAAATTTCCTGCAAAGGAATGTCTGGAGAGATGGCAAGAATAGTGAACTTAGAAGTATCAAGAGAGAGATCGGAAATATAGCTTCCATCTTCAATCCGTCCATAATATGTGGCCAATAGCTGTATTCCCATGCTTTTAACAAGGCAACGATGAGAAATTGCTGATTGCATTCCATTTAAGCTTGGTTTGGGGATCACCTCTGTTTTTTGTAGTTATTTTATGGTCGCTACTAATGTTATATACGTTACTTGTATGTTTGTTAATGTCATTGAGAAAAAGAAGCTAGTTATGTTTTCTTAGGTTAATTATTCTTGTATTTTGTTTCACATTATCTCTGTGCCAAGTTGTGGCCGGTCCACAAACTAAAATTGTAGTGCTACTGCTACACCATAGTCAAACTTACCAGTATAAAAAACATAAATAAAATTTAATCTGAACTAGAATCAATCCCTCAGCTATGCATATGATTTTTATTGGATCCTCAAATTTTAATCATAAAAAATATATTTTTTTATTCCATGATAAAAAAATATTTTGAAATCAGTATGTTTTCTCTTGGGATGATTTTAGGAGGAAAAAAGAAAAAAGAAAACATCATCCAACAAAAATGGCTGATATAATTTTCTTCGTCATCCATTTTCTTCATGAGCTAGGGTTAGCATCTCCTTTTAGAGTTGAAATTCAATCTCCATTTCAAACAATAGCAAATGAAATCATGTCCCATTCATAATTCTCACTTTCTTTTTCGTAAATGATTTTTTTTTTCTGTTCATGACAATATATTATTTTCAAATTAGTGTTCTTATATTAAAGTTCAGTCCAACACTCTGGTTTAATTTAATCAAAGGAAAGTTATCCACAATGGATTATTGTAACACATGCAATCATTTGTTGAATAATTAAAACGTAGGAATAGATCAAGTTGACTTGCATTATTTCATGAATTAACAAGAAAAAAAAATCAATAACTTTTCTAATCATATGCTTGAAATTGAAAATAATTATAGATTCAATTTTATGGCAAGGAAATTGGTGGGGATGGAATTACTAGATCAGAGAAGAAAGAAGGACAAATTAGCAAGTTTAGAAGGTTTGGGACTGATCTGTTAACAAGAATATAAATTGGGTTGGTGGCTGACTGATTCATAGTCGTTGTTTAAAACAAAAAACAAAAAAGGTTATGATTTTTTTACGAGTTAAAAATAAGAAAACATTAATTAAATCAATTTCTAAAAACAATAAATTATAAATAAAATTTAATTTAAATCAAGACTTTATCAGAAAAGTGTGTCAAAAAACTCATTTAATTAAAAATTAGATTTAGATTTAGATTTTTGAATTCTAACTTATACTACATCTGTTTTTTTTTAAAAAAAACAAATGTTTTAAATAATGTCTATGGATGCTATTTATAAATTAAATTGTTTTAACTTATTTTTACCATAAACTATTTATGCAGAATAATTTTTAATTATAACTGAGGGTAAAAAATAATTTTTAATAAATCACGAAACTCGCTCGAAGTCACAAGTCGAGAACTTGAAACAATGATTACCGTAAATTTCCCAAGCCAACGGCAACGGAGGTGGAAGGAAGGTGGGTGGATCTGAAAGAATCCAATTCTTACAGATTCCATGGTAGCGACTACTTTCTATATATATATATAATTAAACACCATCTGTCATGGCTATAAATATAAGAAGAAGAAGAAGTTGAACACCATCTGTCATAGGAATAAAAATAACTAATTAAGTAAACACTACGGAAAAATAAGAAGAAGAAGACAACAAACCTTCTAATCTACAAGTTCTCTGCGATCTTTCTTACATTGCTATTCTTCTTATTACAGTTATTTTCCCAAATCACTCTACAAATACCTTTGACCATTGACAGTAGGTGAACAGAGGGGGCCACATCACCTCACTTTCAAAAGGTTTGGCAAAAGATACTTGAAAGATTCCAAACTTATTTAGACAAGGAAGGGATCCAGGTCGCTCAAATTGTTTTATAATTCATTATCGGTGGGTGATCCTTCGTTTCTCTGTTTCTCTCTCTATCCTTCTTATTTGCTGTTTTTTTTTTGAAAGTGAAATAATATTAGGACACGGAGAGTGATCTGATGCTAAATATTCAAGCTCGGTTCTTCAGTGTTTTTAGAATCTGAATATGGTATGCATTTTCTGTTGCCGCTGTGTGTTGACTTTCTTGGTTCTTATATATGCAGGCCTTGTTTTGATTCTGTATATTCTTTATGCTTTCCAAGTGTCATTTTGCTTGCAGATTCTTACACACTCTTCTATTTTATACCTTCTTCTTTGATTTTTTATTTCCTGATTTTTGACTTCTAACCACTACTACTCTTTATAGGCAACCCGATGGTTCTTTTTTTAAAAAAAAAAAAAAAAAAACAGAAGAAATCATTTCAGATTTGCTCAGTATGGCCTCCTAGGAGGCACCACGCAGAATGAGTGGCTGATTTCTTTGCTTCAAGGGTTTTTCAGGAATATCTTCATCGATCATTCTACCGACAGAAGGGATCATCGGTATTGCGTTGAAAATGTATGTGGTGGAGAGCAAAGGTGGAGCCATAGCATGCATGCTACTTGCGCTCTTCTTCTTGGGCACATGGCCTGCTGTCATGACTCTCCTGGAAAGACGGGGCCGTCTTCCTCAGCATACTTACCTTGATTATTCAATCACGAATCTCCTGGCTGCTGTAATTATTGCTTTTACATTTGGTGAGATAGGGAAGAGCACGCATGAGGCACCGAATTTTTTAACCCAGCTTTCTCAATTAAGCGTACGTTGAGCTATTTAGCTTGCTAACTCCGCCAGGCTCATTTGTGCATTATGGCCCTCTACAGTATTCTGTGTTGCTTGCTTTTTAGTGTTGATTATTCTGAGGCCATTCTGTGGCATACTAGGTTAAGTCTCTTGTTTGCAGTGGCATCATATCACTTACCATTTGTATTTAAATCTACTAGGGTGGTTGATGCAGGACAATTGGCCTTCTGTTATGTTTGCAATGGCTGGTGGGGTGGTCCTCAGCCTTGGGAATTTATCCACACAGTATGCCTGGGCTTTTGTTGGTTTGTCGGTGACAGAAGTGATCACTGCTAGCATAACTGTTGTTATAGGTTTGTCTTTTGTGTGCTGAATGATTTTTTAATGCAAGTCAATAGCATGTCATTAGACTAAATTCTTTTATTGCAATTGTTGGTTTTTTTTTAACAGGCACAACCTTGAATTACTTCTTAGATGACAAAATTAATAATGCCAAAATTCTTTTCCCGGGTGTTGGCTGCTTCTTGATTGCTGTCTGCCTTGCTTCAGCTGTTCACTCGTCCAATGCAGCTGATAATAGAGCCAAGCTCAACTGTTTGTCAAACGATGACAAATTTCAATCAGTGTATGTGTATTCTTCTATGGATAGTTTCAATTTTAATGTTATATATTATTTGATGCATAGTCATTTACATTCCCGGCTATCTCTTCCATGTCAATTATGAACTTTTGAGTCAAAGTTAGCTATTGATTCTTCATCTTTGTCATAAATCTTATCTCAGTGCTTGCAAACAATGAAAATGCCGACAATGCTAAGATGAATTTTATTCACTTAAGAATTCTATTCTCATGGGGCAAAATATTCACTGGAATTGAAGCGACTGCAGAGAAAATATAATTTTTCCCTTTCTTTTCATTGATTGACGATTTCGTTATCCAAAAACAAGAGTTTTGGATATCACTGATGTTAGAATTAAAATTAAAGCTTTTGCAGGGCTACAGACATCTCCACATCCAGAGAAGCTTTTCCAGAAAAGGGTATACTACTTTTTGGATTTGTCTTATAATATCAATTGCGTCCACTTTGTTTATCGAAGTTGTCCATTTATTGCCTTCTTTTATTCTACAGAAAGAAGGGCAAAATTTGGAACAGCAGGCTTCCTTGTAGAGCTTGAGAACAGAAGAGCAATCAAGGTTGGTGGTGGTTTCACAACCTTATTCATTGTATTTTCTAGCAGAATTATTTTTTCTGTCCTCCCCTCTCCTGCACTTATTTCACTTAATTTGAGGAAATGCTTTATTTTCAAACACAATACACTGTAAACTAATTAAGAAGTGGCAGGTGTTTGGGAAGAGTACTATAATTGGACTGGCCATAACTTTCTTTGCTGGCATTTGCTTCTCGCTCTTCTCACCAGCTTTTAACTTGGCATCAAACGATCAATGGCACACCTTGAAAATAGGGGTTCCTAAGTTGGTTGTCTACACTGCATTTTTCTGGTTCTCGGTCTCTTGTTTTGTATTGGCCATCATTCTGAATGTCACCTTCCTCTATCACCCTGTGCTGGACTTGCCTAGATCATCATTGAAAGCGTATATTAATGATTGGAATGGCAGAGGCTGGGCGTTTTTTGCTGGTCTCTTGTGTGGGTTTGGGAACGGTCTTCAATTTATGGGAGGTCAAGCTGCAGGATACGCAGCAGCAGATGCAGTCCAGGTTAGTTTTAATACATACACACATGGGATAGTGCTGCAAATTAATGATTTTAAACAATTTTGATAGCTTCATGATATTTTGGACGCACCATTAACCCTAAGTTCATCATAGAAAGCGATCTACATGTGCTTACCGTTTCAAGTGATGATTATTTGATTTACACTGGTGATTTCAGGCGCTTCCGCTTGTGAGTACATTTTGGGGCATTCTTCTATTTGGTGAGTACCGGAAATCATCGCGAAGAACGTATGTATTTCTTGCCAGCATGTTGCTCATGTTTGTCGCAGCTGTGGCGGTTCTCATGGCATCAGCGGGGCATCGAAAATGAATATAGTTTACTGTTGCAGTTCAATTATGATCGCATATATTGTCGAGAGGAAGAAAACTCCGTGACCACTTGGTTGGTTGAGATTGAAAATATCATGTATCAATACTCTCAATGGAAAGGAAATGCTTTCTTTCCACTAACACAAGAACACGGATTCTTAATTGCTTTCGCGAAAAGAATAAACAATAACACATTTGGGGTGGTGGGTGAAGGAAAAGTTAAAATGTGAAGAAGAGTAGCGATTTTTTTTTTATACGGAACTTCAGTCAGGAACTCGTTGTCTCTATATATTTCCATTAATGCAACCCATTTGTTATCTTATCCTTCTGATGCCTGAATTCATCGTATTCCCCTCTTTTTTTTTTTATCAATACATGTATAGTTTGCTAGCTTGTCAGGGATTCGAGATTCAATGAGTCTACAGCATGGTTTACGTATTGTGGTCCTACTGGTTGCAAACATCCACGGAGTGGGAGATGGCTATGTTTAAAAAGTTAAAGATACGTTAGCCAATGTCAAGAGGTGGCGTCCTTTGGACAGCGATACATTGACTCGAGAGAAAAACAAACAAAAATGGTAACGGTGCCGTCCTTTGACCGCCACCAAAGATAACAGACGTGCAAACGAATTGGATTCTTAGATGCTGTGTTTCCCTTTTAACCACGCCTTTTCCTTTTCTTTCGTTTCTTTTTTCAGAAATGTTTTAGCCACGCTTTACCTTTTAGACAAACCTACACCCAATGCTTTTAGAGTCTTGCTTCTTTTTCTGTATCTTTCCACATGCAATACTGTGCCAGTTAATTACCGTCTCATACTCGGATGTTTTTAATCAATCGAAAGATTCCGAATCAGTAGAGAAGAATTTGCCGTTATGTATGGAAGATTTCAATCTAACTTTAGAATCTGAAGACGAAAACTCCATTGGTTTTTTCCCCCGGATACTGCATCCAGCTTCACATCTTTCTTTGTTTTTCGGTTGGTACGTTAGCACTTGCTTTCTTTCAATGTTTGCACCTACTTTCTACTAGTTTGTAAGCAATTTATATTCCTCGGAAATTCATTTTCTGGCATCTTTGATAATCTTATTGATGAATGTATATGTGAGTCAACGGTGTTTACAAAGCAACTGGCTTCTTCTAAATTTAGTTTTGACTCTGTATGATGCTCCCTTTAACATAATTATACTTCAGCTGCCTTTCATATTCTGTAATTTAGAACTCTTCTCTGCTGCAGAGTTTTTCTAGTGCATCAGACCACCTTTGATTTCCTCAAAAGATTTAGAAGTTATCTCTTAAACATGTATCTAGTGGAGAGCAAAGGAGGAGCTATAGTATGCATGCTGTTTTCCCTGTTCTTCTTGGGTACATGGCCAGCTATCATGACACTACTAGAAAGAAGAGGCAGGCTTCCTCAACACACATACCTTGATTATTCAATCACAAATCTCTTGGCTGCTGTTATAATAGCTTTGACCTTTGGTGAGATCGGCAGTGGGAGGCCAAATTTTACGACCCAACTTTCCCAGGTAAGTTCTGTTTGCGATATTATTAGTATTATTCGTACGCTGTTAGTCACATATTGTTGCTTTTGATTATTGTAAGGTGACTTATTTGGGCATAATTTACCGCAACGTAGAAGCAAAAGTACACAAATGATGTTTGATTGTTCTAGCTTGAATGATGCAGGATAATTGGCCTTCTATTATGTTTGCAATGGCTGGTGGGGTGGTCCTCAGCCTTGGAAATCTATCCACGCAGTATGCCTGGGCTTTTGTTGGTTTATCAGTGACAGAAGTCATTACTTCCAGCCTAACTGTTGTTATAGGTAGTGTGTGCTGAAAGAAGTCAGACATGTTGGAAATTGGCTGTCTTTGTAAGTCCGTATTTTTCACTCCTGTTTACTTCTCTTTGACAGGAACAACCTTGAATTACTTCCTGGATGACAAAATTAACAAGGCAGAGATCCTTTTTCCGGGTGTTGGTTGCTTCCTAATTGCCGTTTGTCTTGGGTCAGCTGTCCATTCATCTAATGCAGCCGACAACAGAGCAAAGCTCAAGGGTTTAACAAGTGACAACAAAAATGTAACAGAGTATGCTTTCATCTTTTCATGTAGAAAAGCAAAGTGTTTTTGTGCTCCATATGAAGTTACACTGTCTTTTTTGGACCAGAGCTGGGTGAATTAACTGGCATTCTTGCTAATGTTACTGCTGATTTTAACCTTCTATTAGGACTGTAGGTTCTTCCGCATATTCGAATGGAGCATCTCAAAGCAAGGGTATAGAGCTTGCTAGATCACTTCCATCGTTTCTTTTTAGCTCATTTGATTAGAATGACAAGGCAATTTTTTGCTGGCTTCCTTTATTATTGAACAGGTGTTAAGGATATGGAAAATGGTAGTAGTACTCCAGAGAAAGCCAAAGCTGGAACAGCAGATTTCCTCGTAGAGCTTGAGAACCGAAGATCAATCAAGGTTTATGGCACAACCTGGCACTCATTTCTCCACAGCCTGGCACTTATTTCTCTAAACGTGTTGCATCTAAATAGGCGTGTAGCTCTTTAATGTAAAACAAGTGGTTTGGCTGTCCTTACAGGTGTTTGGAAGGAGCACTTTGATTGGACTCTCTATAACTTTCTTTGCTGGTTTTTGCTTCTCTCTGTTCTCCCCAGCTTTTAACTTAGCAACAAATGATCAGTGGCACACCTTGAAGAAAGGGATTCCTAAGTTGGTTGTCTACACTGCATTTTTCTGGTTTTCCGTCTCTTGTTTTATTCTTGCCATCATTCTAAATGTCACCTTCCTTTACCGCCCTGTATTAAATCTACCGAGGTCATCACTTAAGGCTTATCTTAATGACTGGAATGGTAGAGGCTGGGCATTTTTGGCTGGCCTGCTCTGTGGATTTGGGAATGGTCTCCAATTTATGGGAGGTCAAGCTGCAGGATATGCAGCAGCAGATGCTGTTCAGGTCAGTCTTTTAAGCATGCTAAAAAGAGCATACGATTAAAACTTTGACATGCATAACATATATTTCGAATTTATGATGTCCTAACATTCTACGTGGTCATTGACTTGAATGGGGTATTGGTTTCAGGCACTCCCACTTGTGAGCACATTTTGGGGCGTACTTATCTTTGGAGAGTACAGAAAATCATCGCGAAGAACATACATTTTGCTTGCAAATATGTTGTTCATGTTTATTGCAGCTGTTGGGATTCTGATGGCATCATCAGGACATAGAAAATGAGTGACCAACTGCCTGCTCATAGTCTAGACAAATTGTATGGCGGAGGATCGAAATACTATAAGTTTATACTCAGTTGATAAGATAGGGATTATTCAGGAAGTGCTTTTTAATAGTTAAATCAAGCCCTGGATGGGTTCTGTGGAAGAAACGAGGGAAAGTGACCTCTTGATAAGGGCGGAAATGTATGGACACCAGCATTCCTTTTTTTCCCTAATCAGTTTCCCTTTTCCAGAATAATGTTATATTTGGTTGTTTTTTCATATGCATTTTCCCCCTTTTCAGCATTTTTGTGTTTGAAAAAGACTGCCATCCCTATAAAACTCTATATTTTGAACTGTTGGAACCCTTCCTTAATATAATATTTCTATAATTTTCATTTTTTTTTAAGTTGCAATGTGGAACTTAAATGCTGTTGTAAGAAATAAAATAAAAATAAAACCAGTATATGATTATAAATTTTAATTGTGTAAGAATATACTTTAGTGGTTTTCTATAACAATCAAACACAAATGATCTTAATTTCATATGGAAACCTTTTGAATTGCTCGCAATTAACTATATCATAAAAAAAAGTGAAGATTACTTAGTATTTTAATTGATTAATGTTTAACGAGTGTCCTTAGTACTGCCAGTATCATTACTGTAAAAAAAAAATTATAAAAGGAAATCACCATTAATGTATTTTCGTGCTGATTGATAGAGGCCAGCCAGTGCTTCGGCCATTTCTGCCTCCTGGGTGCTTCCGTTGTTTCGTTTCGCTACATTTTCATGCTCGTGGGTTTTGGCAAAGAATGTTAACCCCGGCATGTATTTGTTTTACCCTTTTTGGGCCTTCCTGCTACTGTGTTGGCCTTTTTCTCGGTGGAGAGACTTAAGGCTCAGAAAATACGGGCCTAGCGTGAATTAATTTATAAGCACTTGAATTTTTTGGATAAATGGAGGCCCATCTGGCCCAAGTTTTTAATTAGCGTAAAAACCCCGGGCGTAACAGTTACGCGAGGCTACCAGACGGGTTATTAAATACGAGTCATATCTTATGACCATCCAAAGTTGATGATCTCTCCCCCGTTCTGTCTTTCAAAGGCCAGGGTTTCAGTATTTTGTCTGTTTCTTCCTCTTCCTTTGTCATCGAATTTGGCTAGGGTTTCAATAATTTGACTGGGTATTGAAGCCTTCGATTAAGCAGAGATCCAGAGTATAATGGAGAAACTGTGTGAATTCCGGTCGAACCATTCTGTTTTCACATCTCCTTCGTTTTTTTTTTCCAGTCACAAGATGAAAAGATGAAAAAGGCCTCGGCCTGAATTTTTACAGGCCTGAACAACCTATACAGTCAATTTAATTGGGGCTCGACGGAGACGGGCGGATCTAACCGGTCAATAACCCAGGTTTCGGTTTATTACAAACTACGCTTGGGGAATCCTTCTTCTTCAGGTCCTAGAGAAATTTTCAAGGACGCAAACATTTCTGGAGGATGTGGAATTACCCTGGGAGCAGCTGGCTATCGATCTCTTTCCATGTAACCAGCGACGGAAAAAAATAAAAAATGGAAGAGAGCAAAGCAAGAAGCAAAATTATAAGAAAAGGTGCCAATTTTTTCCATACAACGAGGAGATGTAATTCTAGAGCCTAGAATGTTGAAGTCATGGATCAGGCTCATCCTTGACCATCCCCAATTGCTGTCTCGTCGGTATGGAAGACATATTGCTCACATTATCACCAGCAAAGGAAACGCAACTGATGTTATTTTCACTTCACTTTTTTTTTTGTGCTAGCTTCTCTCAAGCGATATGTCATGTTGGGCAGTGCAGGTCTGTTTTTCTGCAAAACGGCATGTCAATAATAATCTCCGGGGCTGTTTTTATGCAGAAGACATCCTTTTGATGGGAACGCTCTCTCTCCATCCGGGGTGACAAAAACCCTCGGCTGCGTAACAAATCCAAACCACATGACTGCGGAGTATATGCATCAAAATTCAGAAGGCAAAAACTGATTCTCTATTATAGCCTCCAAAACAATTCGCAGGAGCAGGTGTGCTGCCCTCTAACAAGTTCCCTCTGGTTACTGCAAACCACCATCCCAGATCATCAAGCTAAGCTATATAGTATCGAAGTGGTTCATATTACTAGTTCCTACAGAAAAGAGGTCATTGGACCATTAGCCAATGACATATCCAACTTTTTAAAGTATACATGATTCTGGAAACACCAAAAATTCATAATTCTAATCCTACCAAGAGCATCTATAGCGGAGCTGCTTCAAGACAAAGAGTTACCGTTCTTGTATTATGGCACCACGGATGTGTGCCATCTAAAAAGCCTCGCACTTCAGCGTTCACGGCAGTATCAAGCCTTAGTTGATGGCCACTTTGTTAAATTAATTTGCTTTGAATGTCAATGAAGTAGTCGTCAATTTCTGCAATTCTTGCAATTATAATGCAACAGAACTCACGTATTACCTAGTCGATTTTATCATCTGTTGAAACATCTGTCCAGTTCGCCTTCCAGATGACTGGAGGGGAAAGAAGGCGCCCTGTTTTCCAACCCAACGAACTTAGCTGCCAGATAAAGAATAGAAATGAACAAGAACCAAAATGTGTTAGTTAATCTATAAATAGTGTAGCTACCTTGACAAATAATAGCAGGGCAGTGCTTCCAAGTTCTTCAATGAAGAATGGTGATATAGGGAACTTCAGAATGCAATAGTTTGGAGAGCCATCCTGGATTCACATCTCTGGATATGTTTATTCACATTGCTCAAAACATAATTGTGGACATTATTTGATCAGCTAATGTAGTAAGATTAGGCCCTTCATTTGTAAGGATACAAATGTTTATTTAAATAAGTAAATAAAAGATAAGGGATTAAATTTTAGTCGCATGTAAAAATTCCTGGTTCACTTCATGACCAATTATGACATAGAGCACTGTGAAAAAGAATGGCAATTACAAGTTCTTTTTAGTTATTAGTTGAAGGTCTGCTCAGTGTAGCTGTCAGATAAAGAATAAAAATCATCTAGAGCCAAAATGTGCCTCTAAGTTCCTCGATGAAGAACAGCAATAGAACTCAAATTAAGCGGGAAAGGGCAGTATTCTGAAAGTGAATCCATTCTGGGTTCTCATTCAGAATTTGGTCATAGGGTCAAGTAAAAGAGCAATTTATTTAAGTTAAGAAAAATTGAGAGAGATACCTTTTGAAGAAAAACTTCATAATGTTTATCCATCCATGACTGGCTCTCCAAATAGACAGATGTACTTTTTTGCATGAGTTCGGCCATAACAAGAGCGTGAATAAATGATTGCAAGACATCTGAAGCTGTTGAATTTTTGTGCATTATAACATCAATGATTCGCTTCCTCTCCACCAACAAGTATTTTGCTAAAAAGACCAGCATAGACAAGCAAAATAAGCAATAGGTTTCCCATTAAAATTCAAAGTTTTTTTTTATGATTTTAAAAAATGAAAACTGGAAGGTAGAAACTAGATCTTAACCTTTAAGATAATGAGATCCTGCAGAAAGCAACACCTCCTTCCTGTTTGAGAATATTGCTTGAACAGTTAGTTTTTTACACAGCAAAATGTTTTTGAGCACTGATTTTGCAGAAGCCAGCTCAGATCAGTTTTGTGTGCAGATATGTCAAGATTTAAGCCATAATCCTAACTTGAAATGCCTTTGAAATATGCTAAACAGTAGTTCAATTATTCAGGTGCTTCTACAACAATCATTGTAAAAGCACCACCTGAACAAAACTACTTTTTTTCAGTAAAAGGTTGACTACCTAATTGCTCTGAATAAATATGTCATTCAAAAAGAGTAAAAAGGAAAAAAAGAAAAAGAAAAAGAAAAAGCAAGGGTACATAGTACAAGTAGGAAACAAAACCTTGTAGTAATGGAAAGTTTATGACTTAAATAACCGAAAACTCACATTTCCTGGTGATCAAGTGAAGAAACTCTCACACCCAAGCGCACATTGGCATGTAGTAACTTGACCTTTTTTGAACTCCAAGAAGTGATCCACGTTGGTAAAACATGTTCCATTCTAGAGACCTGCTCAGGAGAGAGAACTGGCAACAAATTCAGATAATGGCGTCAAAATCAAGAAAAATAGATAGATAAACAAATTCACCTCCAGCTTGCCAACAGGTGAGATCAGGCAAGTAAGCTCATGAAATAGAGTGAGTTTTCATTAAAAAAGAAATGAAAAGAAAAGAAAAGAACAATCAATTTATATGATGATGCCAGAACTTTGTTGCCTTTTTTTGGGCGATTAGCCACTATTGACAAAACCATTACCTTGGCCAGTCTCCATGAAATGCTGGAAGAGAATAGCACTCCTCTCAATATTTAAAGAAGTCAAAGCAAGGCACCCAACAGCCCTGTAGTTTGCTGCACATGAAAATGAAAACATTAATTGCAGACATAAAGCCAGATGTAACATGAGACGACCACAAAACTATGTTATTAGTATACGTCATGGTTATGCAAACAAGAAAGTAGAGAAACTATAGGTTTCTGAGTTTGTCACCATGAAAGGACAAGTCTTACTGCCCATCTATTGCTGAACTAAGCAAATAGATCTAGAAACCAGAAAAAGTGTACCTCTTGCCACCCTTCAATTTAGGTGCCAATTTTTTTTCATTGAGATTATTATGATCTAGTTCTTCGGCCATAAAGACAACATGAAAATTGATATGAATAAGTCATACTCATTCATGAACCCATGTATAATTTTCCTGATCATTCCTTGAAGGTGAGTATGTTCCTTGGTCAAAAATAATTCTCTATGCCGGAAACCATTGCACAAGAGCTTACCATACATATGGAACACAGTGAGAGAAAGAAAAGAAAACCAAATGGCTAGGGGGAGTCCCATTGTTATTCGAGCGAGGATCATTCCTAAGGCCATGCCAATCATTGTTGCGACTGTTTCTTGACTTCCTTCCTATAAATATACAGGAGCCAGTCAATAGCTGTAGTAGCAACCAAAAAATCTCTTGAGGTTGTCTTGCAAGGGTCAGAATAGCAGTATTGGTACCTTGGCAGATATATCTGCAGCATTGTTCTGAAGGGCGAAATGCTGAGTCAAAGCAGCTCTAGTTGCACCACTAGCTACACCAGCTAATGATAGGAAAAAAAGGTAAAGGAAAAGGAAAAAGGAGATAAATCAGATGATGATCACTGAGCATTTATGTTTATCTAATTTTCTATATTCTATCCAGCAGGTGTGTCAGATATACTGTGGCAAACTAGTTAAATTCTATTGTTAGCTTCATATTTCTTTTGCATATTTTTAAATAATAAATGCCAACAATAGTTAATCAACCATTTCATTAGCAAGATAGAATCAGACCAGGCTTTTTTTTTTGGCCTTAACACTATCACTATGACCAACAGTATAAATAATTACACAACAAAAATTCTAATAAGCAGTTTTCAGACAATTTCCACAGGTCCCCACACCAGGCATTTAAGCTACGAGGATACTTACTGAAAGATCTTGATAAGCTTCCCAAGCAAACAACAAAAATAAAAGCGGAAGGAAATAAAGGGGAAAGAAGGTCCATCAACATTCCTGCAGCCAAATTGACAAACTTTCTCATAAATTTTGGACATAAGGAGAAAATAATTTGAGAAACCATGGAGAATAACAACAAAATAGAATGTCAGATGCCAATATGGAGCAAAAGTTGGTGTGTGCACTGTACACCTTCTGGAGAAGGAGAGAGACAGCAGGGCATACCGAGATCATTCATAAGGTCAGCAACTAAACGCCACATCTTGGCATTGCTATCCAGGTCTGAGCCCTGAGAAGCACAAAATTACCCAGTTTCATATAATCTTGAAATGAACCAAAAGAAAAAGGGAAGAAAGAAAGAAAGAACAAAAGAAAAGGTGGTTTGCATCAATTGCCAAACTCTACCTAGAGCATTTTTAACTAGGCAGAAAAACTAGAGCACTTCACAAGTGAGAGAGTTAAGATAATCCAGAGTTAAGATAATCCCCAGAGACCAGAAAAACAAAAGGGGTGCAATCACAAAAGTATGCAACAATAAACCTGGTAAAATGTAAAGAGTATGCCTCCAAGCATTCCAGTTAAGTCCCTCAAAAACCACTGCAAACAAAAACTCAGTTATCAATATTATTTATAAACTTTTTTTAAAAAAAAAGCCCCTCACAAATTTCAAAAAACTTCAATTCATATTATCTGTGTAGCAGTAGAAAGCCAAAGACAATAATAATAATAAAAAAAACTATTATAGTACCTGAAATGTGGCACCAATGACAGTAGCTGATTTCTCACCAACCCCAATTGCACTCAAGAGAGCCTTCAACACAATTTGAGGAAACAAGTTTTTTTTATATTTAGATTTTTTTTTTGACAATCATATGATTATTACAAGTGTGATCAAATAGAGCTTACTTGTGTTGAAAGCATGGTCCTTATGTAAGTTGAAAGACCCTTTAGAACCAAATCAAGCCATCAATTCATCAGCTCTGATAGATTACTACGGAAGGTTCTTTTTTAATAAAATTCATAAATTAATGATAATACCTGCAATGAATCCCATACTTGAAAAGGGGCATAATCTGGTGTTACACTGCTTGGAAATCCCTGCGTTCCCTCACTCCAACGGAATTTAAATTAATTAGTTAAATAAATTGAATAGTAATTTTGTTTTGTTTTGTTTTTTTGCCAAAGAAGATTTAAGAGAAAAGAAAGGGGGGAAGGGGGAGGGCTTGCCTCGGGTACAAATGCTTGAAGAACTCGTCTCCAGACGTGATTAAAACGACTTCCAGATCTGCGCATTAAACATGATTCAATTCAAAATGATGAATACAGAAGAAGCAAAAGAGAAGTGAAGGAATATATATATATATATATATATATATGTATATAAAGGTGACCTCTGGATGGATAGATAAGGAGAAGCAGTTATGGTCGCAGTTTTAAAGAGTTTTGATGAAGAAGATCCATTCCATTCTTCGATTATAAATTTTGATGATGATGATGATGATTTATTCTCTTTATGTGCTGATACTATTTCTTCCATTGATGATGATGATGATGATGATGATCCACAGAGTTGACTCGACTGGACTCGATACTCTGCTCTACTTCACCTCCTTCCTTGGCTGCCTATGATTTATGTATTATTATTCCTTGAAAACGACTTCGTTTTCAACGTAATACATCAGCAGCTGACCTGAATGCTCTGGGCCTTTTCCTTTTCCTTTTTTTTTTTTTTTTTACCGTTCATAGTCTGTTTGGTTTTCAAAAATTTCGAAGTATCATCTGTTTTTTTTCTTGTTGTGTGTGCAATGCATATTGAGGGCAATGGAATTTATCTATTTATTTATCAATTTTTTCGCTGCTAGGGATTCATTATTTAGTATCAATTAATTATAAGTAACGGGTAAA